ATCTGTGAGATTGCTCCATACGTCTGTATACCTGCAAAATGATGTCAAATCTTTATAATTTACAATCTGTACAAGTTGACATGTGTGTTGTTATTTATTTTCTTCCTGGGAAAGCAAATAAATCTAAGTTTACCACAGTACCTTACACTGTCAAACTTGTTTTTAAGGGTTCAAATTGGGGTGGGTGGGACATAGTTTGGGGGGTGGGGGCACCAAAATGGCTAGAGCCGGCACTGCTCTGGTCACTAGAGTCTGAGGCATGATGGGGCCAAATAACATTTCAGTCCGGATCACAAAACGTTTTTCTGGTAAAGTCAAGAACTTCAAGGATTGTTACGATGATCAAAAGATTTTAATTCTGCAAACTTTCAAGTACAAAATGTGTATTTTAAAATTTTCTGAACCTTTTCTGAGCCAAACGTGACTTTATAAACCTCTTCATTCACTCCTGCTTGCAGGCTGCGGAGCTCTGGTTTCTGTTGGCGAGCCCGTCACTCACAGGAAGGCCGACAACATAGCAGGTAAATACGGAGTCTGGATGCAGGATCCTGAAGCTGTTTCTCCGTACGGGCCCGACATGGTTTGGCGCATCGATACGATTGGTGCTGAGGTCAGACAGCTGTTTGGATACGACGACATGGAGCAGCTTTCTAAAGGCTTCCCATCCAAGGTAGGGCTCACGAGAGGCGTCCGTCAGACTAGAAAGATCTTAGATAGGTCTCCTGTCCTGAGCCTGGTTCTGCTGGAGGTTTCTTCCTGATTAGCAGGGAGTTTTTCCTCTCCACCGTTTGCTCAGGATGGGAGACTGTGATGAAGTGATTCAACACAATCTGCTGCTTTCTTCTTTACATTATTCTTTTTATGTACAGTGCCCTGAGACAACGTACGTTGGGACTTGGTGCTGTATAAATAAACTTCAACTTGAACTTGAACTTTTCTAATTATCTGCCCTTTCTTTTTCTTGGGACAGGTCCTGCTGCTGCCTGACCCCTTAGAGAGCACCGGGGCCACTCTCTATCGAGGTTCCCTGTACTACCAGAGACGTCTCAGTCGCACTCTGATCCGATACGATCTGGCTTCAGAGAGCGTCGCAGCTCGCCGGGAACTTCCCCACGCTGGCTTCCATGGCCAGTTCCCTTACTCCTGGGGGGGCTACACAGACATCGACCTGTCTGTTGACGAGAAGGGGCTGTGGGCCGTCTACTCCACCAACAAGGCCCAAGGAGCCATTGTGATTTCGCAGCTGGACCCCCACACCCTGCAGGTGAAGAAGAGCTGGGAGACCAACATCAGAAAGGCATCCGTGGCCAACTCGTTCATCGTCTGTGGGAGGCTGTACACCGTGGCCAGCTACACAGCTCCCAACACCGTCATCAACTACATGTACAACACCGACACCAGCCAGGGCAAGGCCACGTCCATCCCCTTCAAGAATAAGTACGGCTACAACAGCATGATCGACTACAGCTTGGCTCAGAAGAAGCTGTTTGCGTGGGACAACTTCCACTTAGTGTCCTACGACATCAGGCTGGGSCGGCAGCAGGCCAACTGAGACCGACATGTGGGACTGCTTTAAAAAAGAGACATCTGCTCACCTGGTCCTGCTTCAGAGACTCACAGGGTTCGAGCAGAGCGTGAGCGGCAGCAGTAGTTAGAAAGCCAACACCAGCAGCATTCAAATATAACAGAGCCTGTGGGCTGCCATTTGTAAAGTTACACAGTCAAAAATTACCACCAATATTTTTGTTTTATTTAAACTTTTATAAGAAAAAAAGAACAGATTTATTTTTAAAGTCAGTTTTTCACCACATGATTCATATATTTACAGTATAAATGTCATAGTTTATAAACTAAATATTTAACTTACAAATTAAA